GTTTATGCAGCTTTTTTTCTTAAATATAAGAAGCAAATTTTTAGACATTTAGGAGTGCTGAAATTTTGTTTTCATATGTGCAGGCCAACTTACCAGACAAACCTTTCTGTGCTATCCAGCTGTTCAGGAAAAATGTGCACCAGTAAATACTGTACTGAGTACTGACAAACCCAAAATCATCTTAGTGACATAAAGAAGAATTTTAGATAGAAATGGTACCAGTTAATCTACCATTCAGTGGCTTAAATCCATCCAGAAAAATGGCAAACTTTAGTGTCTTCTGCACAACAAACAATGTCACAATACCAGAGAAAAAACAGCAATCGTCCAAATCACACAAACATTAAGGTGCCTAGATTGATTTCAAGGAATACTGTACAGGTGGTACCCTGCAATTTGACCCTAGTCCATTGCCAGGTGAGGGTCAAATTGCAAAGTGGCTGAATTTCTCAACAATGTCAAATTTGATGCTTTCTAGATCAAATTAGACACTTAGAGTCTCTGTGATGGTTGATTTAATGGGCAAGAAGTCAATTGCAAGTCAAAGTCCCAGCAAATTTGACCATTGAGTTGTGGGATGTCAAAATGCAATACTGTATACCACATGTACATTATTTCCTTTTCAGAATCCAGTTTCACCAAATTTAACTGTACTGTATGCCATGAAATAAAAGATGAATTTGGTTATTTTGACTGAAAATACAGACTTTTTTGTTGAAATGGAACCATTCCATGTGGCTTTGGTACCAATTCTCCATGATCTTGACCCCTTTTCTAATGCTAATTTTGCAAATCTTGCGCCAAAAGACGAGTTTCAAAACATTCCTGGTTTCTAACGCGTTGTCATCATGTTTCGTTTGCATAATAATGACACCCCCAACGGAATTCCCTCGCAGTATTTTTATAAATTCCTCCACGAAAAGTTGGTAACCCTTCGTCGCTTCTCAGACCAAATGTAACTTTTAAAATAAAAAGAAATGGAATATCCGGTCAGTACCAAGGAGAGAAGGTGGCCAACCTTACAAGCCATCAACCATCAGAGATTCCAGGCATAGACGACTAGCCCAACACAACACACACACACACACAAAAAAAGAGAAGAAAAAAATGCTCCGTTACTCGACGCAGGACCGAAAAAATATGATATGAATTGCCGGAAGGAAGAATAAAAAAAGAAAGGGGAAGAAAGCCGGAATTCGGGGAGTGCTGAAAATAGAATGCGGCTTATTAACGTAAACAGGTGAATAATGTAAATACCAGAGTTCCTTGGCCCCGCCGCACGTCCGCGCTTGTATACAATGATAGGCCGGGTAAATGGAACCCAGTACAGGAACTATTCCAGTTTTTCCAGGACATTTGAAAATTACTTTTGCGAGAACAATTCATTATTTAAAAATATTGAGTTTAAAAAATTCTTAAATTATTGAAAATTGACAATTAAAAATTAGTCATTCTTCAATGATTAGTCAGTTGCCATTATTTATTTGGGAGAAGAATTAATTCTTGTAAAATTGTGCATTATTTCATCCACTCATCAGTGATGAGAATTTTAAACCCTCACTTTCTGATCTCAATTTCTTTAATCAATTAGGGTGGACTTTCTCTCTGTATCTATTGCTCTCTTTGAAAAAATGCAAGAGATCAGGCAAAGTCATTGTAGAGAGGATTTTGTTGTAGAGAACCTGTAGAACATTGGCAGAGAACTTTATGTTGTGGAAAGAGAATACCCTGAGAAAACCCCTGAAGGTCATTTCCTCCTCACTCAAATTTATTTCAATTAAAAATACAATCTTCACACAACCTTCATTGTGAGAGGATCTTAACTCTCTCTTTATCCCTTTTTTACCACGTTTTTATGAACTCACTTTCTTGTCTGTCTGTTTGTCCGGATCAAATTTTGCAACTCAAATTTCACTCACTTCCAGACTAGCTAGCAAGCTGAAACTTTCAGGATAGCCTAGAAACTGATGACAATGCAATCTTATGTGAAAAGAAAAATTATAAGAATATTTTTAAAAAAGAATAAAATAATTATAGTAGATTAAGTAGATTAATCTACTAAATTTTTTGAATCTTGAACTTGCGTGCGTTAACTGTTGAGTACTTGTCTGTTATGTGGCTAAATCAATTTGAAAATATTTTAGATAGAAATTCTGTGGAAATCTTTCAACTATTTTAATATTTATATCCTGCCCCAGCCTTATTATCTTATTATTATCATTTTAGAAAACCATTTAAAAGAGAAAGAATGTTGTTGCAGTCGCTTCAAGCGGCAAAAACTTGCGGATATGATCATTAGAAGGGAACATATAGCAAAGAAATGTTGAATTCACGGTTTGAATGATCCAACCAATAAATCCAGTGCTAATTTTGATTTTTCAACAGTTGCAGATTCTTGGGAAATAGTTTATTTTACTTTTTATTTTGAAGAAAAGGGTATTTTGTGAGATTCTAAAATAAATTGGAAATTTATTTCCTGAAGTCACTAAACCAAATACAGTACTAAAATGTCTTTTTAAAGTCACATCTCACGTAATGGCAAGAAAGGCAAAAAATGAAAAGTGTTACAAAGGGAAATTCTTGTTTGATAAAAATATCGCTGCTAAATAAATAAAAAACAGTTGTTCGGTTTTTAGAACCAATTTTCTCCAGGTAGAAACCCAGCATTCTGATATGCTGGTACATTTCTTCCATAAAAGTATCTCACTATACATTATAGTTTTAAGATTTGTCCTTCGTATACTTTCAATCTGTTCTGATGGTCCCTTTTATGAGATTCTGGCATCAAAATGACGCATGACGATGTAAATGAATATCCTTTCCTGCAAAAATGTATTACTGGACGTATATGAAGATTACAGTTTAATAAAATTATAAAATCTCTTAGGAATCTTCGGTATTACATTCCTTGTAGAGAATTTAGCTTCCATAAGGCCACGAGCTAATTTCGAGTGGCTTTGAGTTTCATTCCATCATTCATACAGTAAAAAAGTACGAATAAATATCGTTATACAACGAAGCATTGGAATTAACCAGTAAAATGGCTTCGTTATAACAAAACATCCTAAAAAACTAAAAAACAAATTTGTTCGAAGCGATTACTTTATATAACAACATTCGTTGTGACGATCGAGATTCTACCGTGTATATAACATGAGCCATTCCATAATTTATCTCAAATTTATTGCTCCAACGTGGTCTTCGACGTTCTTATATACAGCTAGCCATCAGAGAGGTGATTAAATTCAAACACCGGATAAAAAAGCACTCATTTTATTTCCACCAAAACGAATATCGATCAAAACAGGGCTCTTTCAAAAACAGAACAAATGAAGATTTCTCCGGAACGTTGATCCGGTTCGAGACAATAGATTCCTCCTCCTCGCCATTGAAGGTGATGGTGTTGTTCTTTCCAAGTGATAATAAAAAAAAAATCGAGTAAAAACGAAGCAACGGAGGCTCGATGTTCGTCCCCATTTTGAAATCATTCCAAGGATAACATTGAACTGCATGTACAAAGTGACCTCTAAATAAAACTGGGGACGATCAAAATGTTTTGTTGTTGTTGCTGCTGCTAACGCTCTTATACAGTAAATCGAGGTGCTGGGAATCACTGGCGATTCGGTCTCCCTGATGATGCCGAGTTTGTTCGTGGCGTCCTTTCGGGAATCCCGGATTTATTTAATTTTGGAAGCGATTTCTCTGTTGTTGCTGTTGTTGTTGTTGTTGCTGCTGCTGATTATTTTGTTGCAGGTTCAACGGAATAGCGCCCCCAGGGAGCTGAGGCAGACCCGCAAATTGCGGCAGTTGCTGAGGCGTGAACCTTTGGGCACCGACTGGGATCGCTCCACTTACTGGAAAAATTACCAGATGAACGAAAAAATAAGATAAAAACCACGTCGAAAAACTAATTTAAAATAAAACAGTCCGAATTCAGTCAACGTTATGCGTGTGAGACCACCGCAATAAAGTAAAATCGCTTTTCAACGAAGCCTGTGCGGGACCACTAAAATAGCTTCGTATAGTCTTGTGCCAAAAATTGGTCATAAACTGACTCGTGTAACATTATGGCTATTGGGCAGATACCTAAAAAAACAACTTCGTTGCATTATAACTAAGCAATCATTCCTCATAATGAGGTTACAGTAGTGGTAACAATAAGATTCCATTGTCTAAGATGGGTGTTTTTAAATTGTTGGTTGTCACTGCTCATTTGAAACGGAAATTATTCTGGCAATCCAAGCTCCTGACTCAAATTCTTCATTGAAGCTGATGCGAGAATATTGATGAGACTTGAAGGATTATAAAGCTTTTTTCAATTTGCTTCAAATTGTATTGTAATTTACAGCCCTTACTTGAGCAACGTCGAGCTCACCAAATGGATATTTCACAGAAAACTTCATGTCCAACATCACTAACACAAAAATTATTAAAACCGGGATATTTTCCTCAATAGAATATAAAGATTTTCAAATCGAGGAAATCGTCACAAAATATATTTTCAGATTACAGCAGTTTTTATATTTGGAAGCAGTATATTGGCATGTTGGCAAATTCATCGACGTGCACATTCTGCAGTTGTGAGCCTTACTTTTTCATCGTACTGCGGGACATTTTTGAAGGTTTTCCTCTCTATTTTCAACGTGTGTGAGCAAAAATTAGAACATTGCCAAGTTGTTATGATACGTTACACTCAGTGAAAATTGTGTTCAGCACCATACATTCAAAAAGAGAAGCACATTAATATCGTTATATGAGCATCGAGCCTCGAAATTTCTTCTAAAAACATAGACAAGCTGTCCAATCAAATGTGTTTTCGCTCGTACAAAATCTTTCAGCTGATCAGATCGAGCATAAAATTTTTTTTAGAGAATTTATTTTCAAACCTACGGAGAAAAGGCGAATTTTCCACCCATTATAGTCCAGTGATAATTGAAAGAAATATTTTTTTTTAACTTCGACAGCTGCGGTCCTGAAAATCACGCGGGTCGATCGTTCAATTATTGACGGGTAGATGACGCACCTGCGGGGATCTGTTGAGGTCGTTGTTGCTTATTCTGTTGCTGTGATTGCACGGGCCGTTGTTTCGGCTGCTGCTGTTGAACGCCGTTGTTGTTGCCTTCGTTATCGCCATCCCCATTGTCCTCTGCAATCGTCAGAGGGTAATATTAAATCATCAATCCTCTAAAAGTAATGTTATAATAATAATTCTTTGAATTACAGAAGTGGACTGTATACTAGCGTCGTAAGAATTTTTTGCATACAATTCAACGCTTAAAAAAGGCTAAGTCGCAACATTCCAGAGCAGGTTCAGGCCCGAGGGCATTCAGCGAACCACTCATCTTGGTCTGCATGCAGCTATAAAAACGTCCGCAGGTTAAGTATATCATCGATGTCGGTTGAATCCCTTCGTTAAGCCAAGCTTTGTTCAATATCCAATCTCACGAAATAGCCTAGCTAGACACGAATAACAGGATTCAGGCGACATCCACCACCTACTGTATACTCGAGATCAAAAGGAGCCATTTAACCAGCATGTATCAGGCATTTGAATGAATAGAGAATAAAATTCAGTCTTATAGCGGTCTACAACGTTAGAAGGACAAAAGAGAAGAGAGCAAGGGCGTTGGACGAAGGGTTTGAAATTTGGTGGGCTTGATTTTAAACAAACGACAAGTAGCAAATTTAAAGCTGAACTAGAGGTTGGACTGTGTAATTAGTCATTTGGCGTGATTTGTAATTCCAGTTCGGATAATCTGAGTTATTCTGTAGGGTAGTGTAGTTTAGAATCAGGGTTCCCCAACCCGTGGTCCGCGGACCGGCGCCGGTCCGCAGGAGTTGAGAAATTTTCAGCATGATAAACTCATCAAAAGTCGGGATGAAATCTGTTATTTTAACCTAAAATTTTGGAAGTTCAATGGCAGTTGAAATTATCTGATGAAAACAAAAGTAGGCTTATCTCTTAATAACACTTCGCAACCTTCTTTTCACCTACTGAAATGCTGTACATTATTTTAATTTTTCATTCTGAGAAACCTTTCTCATCCAAGCCCACCTCTGTAAATGTTTGATGACATTCTGAACTGAATTTTCCTTGTATGTATACCTGCCTAATAACATTTAAGCAAAACTTTGGCCAGTCTGCAAAAAATGTATGAAACTTTGCCGGTCCGCAGAATATATATATATTTTTTTTTTTGGAATTTGCAAAATAAAATAAAAAAAAATTTGTCCGCAAACTCTGCGGCAAATTAAGTGCTTCTCCTAATAACACTTCAGAATACATGTTCACCTGCTGAAATAAATGATTTTAATTTTTCATTCTGAGAAACCTTTTTCCAAGCCTACCTTTCTAATTGTTTGATGACGTTTTTAACTGAATTTGTCGTGTAACTACCTGCCTTATAGCATTCAAGCCACACTTCAACTAGTCTACAAAAATGTTATGAAACTTTGCCAGTCTGCAGACAATTTTTTGAGAATTTGCCAGCCCAGAAAATTTTTTTTTTATTTGCTGGTCCGCAGGCCCAAAAAGATTGGGGACCACTGGTGTAAGATCCTTTTAAAGTACAGTACAGTACTGTACCTCCTTGAGAAGCTTCGGTAGTCGATGGTGGAGGCACTTCGCAGTCTTCAGTAGGCGGAACGACGCAGCGGAGCGAGTTTTTGTCAAACACCAACATGGCGGGGCATCGCTGGAGGCGCGGGTATCCCCCCTGGCAGTGCCAATAACGGTTGCAGGACTTGCCCAGGGCGACATTTCCATTCGGGTGCTCCTTGCACAGGGCTGTGGGGATTCGAAATGAGTCGCGAACCGTCTTCATCTGAATAAAGCCTCGCTTTCGATTCCTGCTTTTCACATTAAAATTCCCGAGCGACTTCCGCGAGTGGGGGGAACCATTTTGGACGCAAATCTCACGTGAAAGCAAGGTCATCCAGGAAATTTAAATACTCCACGGTTTGCATGTGTTAGAAGCCTCGCCAAATATCCAAATGATTACTTTTTTTTTCTTTCGTTCTTGCGTGTCTCTCTTGCGTCTTTTTTTTTTTACGGAAAATAATTCTTCAAGAAATGTTTGTTTTACTTTTTAAGTTTTTAAAGCCTGCACTCAAGTCTCATCAGGAAACGCCGTCATTTTCCATTTAGTTTATCAGCTTCAATGTTCCCAAAAAGGCATTTTTCCAAATATCCAATAACGGTTGCAGTATTACTTTACTTCGAGACACGGAGTTCGAAATGCAAATTCAAAGGATACATGTACCACGGTAACGCTTACGTATATTCGAAGCTTTTTTTCAATTTCTAAATCTTTTAATTTTTTTCTTTCCATTCTACGTGTGTCGCTCGTGAACATTTTTTACGGTAAATTATTCACAAAAAAGGCAGTGCTCTAACTTCAAAATCCCTTGCAACATTTCGGACGAATTTGCTGCGTTGTGCAACGGTGATGATTCATATAAACTGGAAGTATTTCCGTGAGCCCTTTACCTTCAATCATTGCTTGGCTATTTGAATAATAAGCGTAATTATAGTGCCAATAATTTCTTCGTAGAAGGTAATGGTACCGGGGCATTTAGCCCAGATCTGAGAATATTCGGCCCGGTTTTTTTTTCATGGCATCTTTGAGCTCTGGAAACATTTCGAGCTACGGCGAAGCTGATGAGGTTGATCTTCAGCTACGTGCATATTTGTAATTTTCGTTTCACATCTAAGAAATTACAGAAAAATGAATCATTTTCTATGTTTGCCACCGGTCTCGTGTCGTTCTTTTGAAAATTATGATACATCAAAAGCGATATATATTTCATGCGCTGTAGTATTGGAATTAAAAGTGACTATAATTCCGACGGTTTGGCGCTTCACCTTTTTACTAGAGAGTGACTTTTCCGAAAATGTTGTCAAAAAAGTATGTCAAACAGGGCTGAGTTTTTTTTTTTTTTATCTGGTGCCGAAGAAAGCTTTTCCCCTGAACAATAGGGGGCTTTTTCTCAGCTCAATCGCATAAATGCCGTTTCAATTTATATTTTCCTTGAACTTTCGTTAGAAGTTCCCATCTCGTATACACATTATGCAGATGGCGTTGGACGAAGGTCGTTGAAAATTTAAAATGCTGCATCAAAGGGGGAGGAAACAGAGATTCTTAGCTAGTGCAGTGGGCACGGCCAAAATTATATGAGTGCTACGAAGACCGTTGGGAGCTGCAAGAGCCCGGTCAGCGTCCTGGCCCAAACGAGCAACATGTTGTCCGGAGGCTACGTCTTGACGAGCCAACGACAAGGCAAGGTCGTCGTCCAGTACCTGGTGCAGGACGTCTCGTGTCCGAAGATGCCGTACAACCAGTCGCAATGCTCGACTTGGGTCGGGGGATCTTGACGGGATCAAGCGTGTCGAAGGGCAGCAGGAAAAACGAGCATGTGCATGACGTTAACAGAGGCAAATTGAAAACAAAACAACAACAAAAAACAATGCCAAAATGTCCCTCGCAAAATTTGGAGGCGAGAGCGGATGAATAAAAAGCGGAAAGGCAAAGCGAAGTGGATTTCCGCAGCGCGGAAGCAACTAAAAAAAAAAAAGAGTCCTTGTCGATCTCGTCTCGAGTTTTCACGACACAAATTCCCATCACCATTATTTGGTCGTCAGAAAAACAACTCACCGCAATACACATCAATCGAAAATAATGAAACACCTTCCACATGCAAAATCTACCCGACATTTCGTCAAAAGCTAGCGCAATATTTTTTTTCTCTTTCAAAAAAATCGTGATGCACAAATGAGGAAATAGAAAAAGAAGAACACGTATAGTGGAGATGAAGCTCACAAGCTCCGTCGTGTTCGTTCATACTAGGTCATCTATGACATGTAATTTAAAAGGAGCTTGCAAATGCTAGTAGCGAGAACTTAAAAAGAACACAAAGAACAAAGAGCACACGGTTGTATTTGGGCCTTTTTATGGGCAATATTGCCATAGAAAACAATAATTTACTGTTCGTGCGTTACGAAAAAAAAACGGGAAAAACGAAACCCCACCAGATTCCCGACGGAAAGTAAAACGGGTCTTAAAATATTACTTACTTCACGCCGGAAAGTGAAATGGGGTTTATCATTTTTGGAGAGTATGTCTCACATTCGGATGAAATAAAAAGGAAATTTAAAGAATCCGTGTGAGAAAGTCTGGCGGAGTTTCAAAATAAGAAATTAATATTCTGTGAGATAGCGGTGAAATACCCGTTTTAAGAAATTCGAAATTCAATAATTGAGAATATAATACGAAAGATTGACTGGATTCGACTTTTCGTCCTTTAAAGACTCTATGGAAGAGAATTCGTGGTGTAAAGTGTCTTCAGTAGTCCCTTACAAAAAGGCCAAATGAACCCATGCTACGCAATTTTTATAACAAATAAAAGACTGGTCTAGAAATAGGAGCTCCTACCCCAATCGGAAAAGCAGGCAGTACATAAAATATCATCAACTGTCAATTTTGCTTACAAACAACGTGCAGCAATTAATAAATGATCGTAAACGTTTTATTTGGTTCAAGAGGGAACTATGAATTATGAATGGATCAAATGCGGCATATTTTCATGATTTTAATCTTTTAGTTATCTTTCTTCATAATATCTCTCTGCTTTTTGTCGTTTCAAACTATTTGTTTTCTTTTCGAAAAAGCGTTCTTCAACACGCAGAGCTCATGCAGTTCCCATTGCGAATATATCGTCAAAATGCCAATTTGTAATAATGAGCAAGGTATATGCAGTACAAAACACCGGGGTTTTCAGGGTCCCACATGAAATGGAAAATTGATGGGCATGCTTTGGCACACGTGCAGAAAATAAATAAATAATTAAATAAATAAGCAAGCAATGAAAAAAAAGGGAAGCGGGTTTGTATATGACGTGATTGACAACGTCGGGAAAGTGAGTGTGACGACGAGGTTACGCACTGGCGAGAGTCCTGTTTTTGCAGGTGTCGATGCGCCACGGGTAGTCGCAGCCGCCGACGACGCCCCGAACCCGGCGGCCCGTGAACACGAGCCCGTTGGGGCAGTCGAATTGCACGAGTTCGTCGTCGATGCATTCCCAGTACCTGTCGCAAAAGTCCCGGTCGAAGGACAACTTACTCCGCTTTTTGCACGGATCTTCTTCCGCGCCGCCGCGTCTCTGAGTTTGCTGTTGTTGTTGTTGCTGTTGTTGTTGTTGCTGTTGTTGTTGCCTTTGACCCGCAACTATTTCCAACGGGAAGAGAAACACCACACACATCCCAACATTTTTGTTTCGTTTCCTTCTTTCATTCATTTCCTTTTCTTCTTCTTCTTCTCCCTTTGCTGACAGCTCAAATAATTAACCACAAATTTCGGAACTCAAAAGGGAAAATTTAGTCTATGAAATGCTGCTGCTACACGATCAGGGGTTTCTCGAAAGTCTTGGAAATTCAACCTAAAAACAGTCGTCGTCGTCTGTTTCAGTAAGTTTATGCTTGAAACAAATTATTCATTTATTTGAATGGAGCAGATGATTAAATTTTCAGAAATGTTCTCAATAATGACTCACCAGTATATAACACGGTCACGAAAACTAGAATTACTACATCGTTGTTATATGGGAATTCATGTCGAAAATATTCATGAAAACGTTGTTCGTGGAGGTTAAGCTGTCGACGAAGCAGCTATTGAGAAACTGCGTAGCACTTTTAGCAAAGTATATTGTGAGAAGTTTAGAAAATTTGCGAATTGTTGCAAAAAAGATTCAATAAAGTCACCTTTTCCTCGAGTTCTTCCAGCAGATGCTTTTCTGGGGTCACAATTTAACGTTATTCGTCAACATTAAATGCATGAATGTCTCATCTCAGCTGCTTTCAAACGATAAACTCCTTTTAAAATTAACAAGAAATAAATGCTGACGCATTTATTGGTTATCAAATTTTATCTACGTACAAAGACAATTTCTTGGTGACTTGCAGGACTTTCAAGAAACCCCCCGAGTATACAATGAACAAATTCAACAATCAAGCCTTGTACATTGGTGCAATATTGGTCAAAAATAATCAAAAATAAGTGATTTGTCAATCTCGGCCTTGCTTCACACGGTTCATCCATCAACTCATCGACGACTAATCGACGAATGATCATTGCGACACTAGATGGGTTAGTTTTTTTTTTCGTTACTTATCATCATGGAGACACTGTTGCATCACAGGAATACAGTAAACCTAAATCCAGCGAAAATCTCGCACCTTTTCTTCGCCAAAACCGTCCAATTAGTTTCGAATATGTTCGATGTTGGAGACTCACCAGCAGGATTCTGGTGAGTTCTCAAACAAGTCAAGTACCCATGCCTAAAATTAAAATGTGCGCACTGCACTGAATGTTTTAGTTCTCCCAGTCAAATGCATACATAATCAACAAATGCATCATCACCTACAACCAAGTATACACAATGAATATTGATTGAGTCGTATTATAAACATTCGTCACGTGGCAATCGGTTGGTCGTGAGAGTCGAATCCGTCAGATTATGCGGACCTCAATCGTCAGGGTACGAAGTTTACATATTTTCCCCCATTTTCTTTAAAACTCCATCATTCAGTACTGTACTGGAAACTGACCAAGAAACACTTGTTTGAGGTGCCCAAAAAGTTACTTTGCAGCGGGAAAAGTAAGGATTTTTTTTTATAAAGGATTCAAATTATGGGTTAAACACGGGGGTCTGTGTATCAGAAATGGTTAATAACACGACATGAAGTTTTTAAAGTTATGTATTGATTGTCTTGCTCGTAATTTTACTTGAAATATGCAGCCAACACACCCGCAGGGCCTCGACGCCACCC